ATTTTCACTATTAACAGTTTAGAGAAAAATCAATGCCTGTATGGCAAGTGACGTGCAGGGAAGAGGGACGGTTACGTCTACTGTGTTTGAATGTGCGTCAATAATTAAGTTATAAACAATTGCTGCAGATCTTCAGATTGTAACTAATTTTCTTTTCACATGATGTCACAGTACCAAACAATGAAGAATATCCAAAGTCTTTTGAGACATGTTCTGATTTAAAGCATTCAGAAAGAAATACAATTGTATTTAAACAGATAGGTTGTAGACCTCAACTTAGACCCAGCCAGGGTTTTGTTTTTCAGGTGCACACATGAAGTAGCTATAAACCTCACTTTTGGCACACTTGTGTCTTCCATTGTCATGAGCAAGCAGAGACTGAGTCGTACAGGAGTGCTACTTAAAAGTGAAATTCCTGTGCCTGCAACATTATAGAAAAGGAATGCACATGTGTTTTAGCAGCAGTCCAGCATTGTGATTGGCTACAGGATATCCAGTCTGGAGAGCAGTCATCAAGTACCACAGATGAGATGAAGAGAGATATGGGCAGGCAATTCAAAGCTGGGGAACACACCTTCAAGTTCAGATATAAAGTCAACAGTTTTTGTAGAATGCCTTAGCTCCCACAAGGTGGGAAAGAAGAGTTCAGAGATCAATAGTTGCCCAAGAAGACTTCTGAATGAAAAATCTGATGAGAGACTAACAGAAATTAATTTGACCAAAAATAACGAGCTATGGTGTTGATTAGACTGAGTCGATTTTAGTACTTTCTTTTTTGAAGGAATCTGGTTAAGATTACTATTGTTGGTTGACTTAATGGATAACTATTTTCCTTGGTAGGAAGTGAATTTATTTCTCTTCAGGTGCCATTCTTTGAATTTCATCATTTAACTTGCCAGTACCACCACCACTCTGGAATCTGACAGTTCCCTTCTACAATAAACTCCATTGGTCAGGCATCCAATGCTCCGGCACTCATGATGGTCCAGCACATCAGGAACCCAGAAGTGCTCCGGCTGCCGGACAATTGGAGCTGCTCTGCTCCCGGCTTACCCGATTCAGCTGCTGGTCAGTTTCAGCAGCAGCTGAATCAGGGACACCTGGGGCAGAGCCGAACTATCGGAAGGGGGGGGGCTATGAAGGGTCTGGGGTGGCATCCCCCTCCACGCCACCCCATCTATTTCAGGATCCTTTCCCTGATAGTAGTTAGTTTTTGACCACAATTGCTTTTGAACTGCAGTTTTCTCTGAGTTGTCTACACTGATGACCACGTCCCTTTCTTGAATTTGTATAGTTAATTTGAACCCTGTATGGAGAAAGGGTAGTTTAACTTTTCCCCTTCACTGAGCTTTGTTTTGTAATTGTCATTATGAGATTCCATGTCAACTTGCCCATTTGCATAGCTTGTTTAGGTTTCTGAAGTTCTTCACAGTCCTCTCTGGCCAACCTAAATAACTTTGTGTCATCTGCAAACATTATTACCTCTCTACTCATTCTTCCCCCGCTCCCTTTCCTAGACAATTAATAAATATATTAAGCAATAGTTTTTTTCTTCAAACACACAGGTGTAATTTTTCCTTCATCAGCATGCCCTGTTTAATTCCCCCATCCCTATTACCAGGGCTCAACGAACTGCGGCGAGATCTACTCGCCAGCGCAGCGCTGGTGAACGGGGCGACTGAATGAAATCTACTCGCCACGAGCAAGGAGATATTGCAATTTGTCAAGCCCTGCCGATTACTGTTGATGATAAGCTAAGCTCCATGTAAGCTGTGTGGCTGCAGAGCTGCCTAGTCAGGGCCATGCAGACGCTTAAGGAAAGAAGGAGGGCTGCTCCCCACCACCTAGTCAAGCTGTGGCCAAGTCATGGACCCGTCTGCCGCAGACTGGGGAATGGGCACCTATCCTGAAGCTGCAATGACTAACTGGGAGAGATGCCTTTCCCTCCCAGCTCAAGTGCCTTTGTGAAGAGACGTATCAGAGGGATAGCCGTGTTAGTCTAAATCTGCAAGAACGGCGAGAAGTCCTGTGGCACCTTACAGACTAACAGATTTATTGGAGCATAAGCTTTTGTGGGCAAAGACCCACTTTGTCAGATGCATGTAGTGGAAATTCCAGAGGCAGGGATAAATATACAGGCATAAGGAAAGAGTTCCAATCAAGAGTAAGGCTGGAGATAATGAGGTCAATTCAGTCAGGGAGGATGAGGCCCACTTCTAGCAGCTGATGTGGATCAGCACCATTTTCCTCTGTGTTTTAATTTGTTTTCCTTAGTTGCTTTGTAACATCTAGCAACCAAGTATGCTTTATCAAGTATATCTTTAGTTTTGTAATTAAAAAAAAAAAATCACTTTAAAAAGGTGATGATTTGATTCTTGTGTCCTGGAAGGTGTCCCGCAAGGTCTGTCTGTCTGTATCTGCATGCCTCAGACTGAAAGGTCAGCTACTAGAGACTGCAGCTTGTTTTCTTCTTTTCTTTTTTCAAGCTATTTTAGGACAAAAGAGCTTGGGGTACCCTTGGGGATGGGTTCAAGTGTTCACCCCTGGTTTTTTAGAGATAAAAATCACTTGATGCTGGCCACCATCCCCCAAAATTTGTGTATTGAGATTCTGGAGGAGAAGGTTTTTGTAACCAGTGCCTGTAGAGGCAAGGTTTTTAAGCTCTCTTGTGGGCCCTCATCTTCTGCATCTGAATAGCCCTGATGGGGGGCTGAGTTTATCATTAATCCTATCGACTACATGCACTCTCCCACCTTTAATGCCTCCCACAAAGGCAGCAGCATGTGGGGTGCATGTAGTGTTGCCAGATGGTTTAATCAAAAACACCAGACACACTTGACATTACATTACAATCTACATTACATCTTATTTAGAAAATAACGGACATTTCTATTTTCTCAATTTGTTTCCCGATCAGGAAGCTCAAATACTGGACTGTCCGGTACAAAGCCAGACACCAGGCAACCCTAGGGGCATGCCTGGGCACGCTGCCAACACAGGCTGCGCCACAGGATGCCAGCACAGCCTCTGTATCAAAAGCAGCAGCACAGGATGGCAGGGGGCTTCCTGGGAGGCACTGGCTGCTGGCCCCGCCCCTGGGGACTACTGAATAATCATGTAACCGCTAAGATTTGATGTGGTTACACGATTATTAAATTAATCAGTATCTAACATCCCATACCAGACTCTGGCTCTACTTCCAGCTTTCTCCCCCCACAACTAGGCTCCAGGCCACCAAACCCTCCCCCCGGCAGGACTGGCTCCACTCCCAGCCTGCCCAGCTGGGCTCCGGGCCATTGTCCCCCCTGCCGTAGAACCAGCTTCGCTCCAGACCACTCCCTGGCCAGGGTCTGGGTCCCACTCCAGCCGCCCTTCCTCCTCTCCAGTCCCTCCTGGACATGGGACTGACTATTACAGCCCCCCTCAGCCAGGTTCTTGGCCTGACTCAGCCCCCTCCCTCTGGCCACAGGACCAGATCTGCTAAGCCTCCCCCCCAAACCAGGTTCTGGGCCACCTCTTCTCCCAGGCTGCAGGACGGGCTCCAGGCCACCAGCTCCCCAGCCATAGGACCAACTCTGCTCCTGGCTTCCTAACCAGGCTCCGGGCCTCCCCATCTGGACTCCCAGCCAGCCCCCATAGGCCCAACAACATCTGTGGTCTGGGTGGTCCCTCTGTTGGACCAGAAAGGCGCTCTCTGTGGTCTCTCTGTTGGACCAGAAAGGCTCAAGCTGTACTAGTTTGAATAACTTAAGTAACATCTATGGACCAGATCACAAGCCAAAACAAAGACAGACGGTATCATGCAAATGACAGACAGTAACTAAATATAATTACACCAGAAAGATATTAATATGGATAAATACTACAAAAGTCATTTCCTAGATTTTCTGCACATTAATTCATTAGTAGCCATTTTATATTAAAAAAACATATTATGCATTCGTAAGAAGAGCATAATCTGGAGAAAACCCTTTTCAACTGCAGTTAGAGCTGAGGCTTGTGAGGAAGGTTCCTTGATTTTTACAATCTCAGGCCACGTCTTCATTACGCAGATGTACGCTGCTGTGGTTGATTTTCTGGAGTTCAATTTAGCGGGTCTAGTAAAGACCTGCTAAATTGAACTCAGAGGATGCCCCCATCGACCTCCCACTGTGGAGACCATGTGAAAGTTCGAATTAAAGTACATTGATTCCAACTACATAATTAACATAACTGGGATTGTGTATCTCAATTTTACCTTCCCACGGAATGTAGACCTGGCCATGTGTACAAGTTTTAGATGAATCTTCCAGAACCTTATAAAACTGTAATAGTAAGCTGACACAAAAAAAAACAGTAATTCCAACATAAACAGGCTAATCAACACGGCACAGACAGGATAACATCTACAATAACCCCACCGATTTTTTCCACAAGGAAATCCTGAGTAAGGACTGAAAGATATACTAAAAAGAGGATCATAAGAGTCTAAACACATTTCTAATAAGGATGTTAAATATCGGTTAATTGCATAGTCAAGTAACCTCATGAATTATCAATTAGTCGACTATTCTATAGCCCCAAGGGGCAGAGCCAACAGCCAGTGCTCTCTGGCCTCACTCCTGAGAAGCCCCCTGCCATCCCACACTGTTGCCTCTATATAAGAAGCAGCAGTGCAGAGTGGCAGCAGCCCATCTGGGGGGGTTGGGTCTGAGCTCCTGGACCTGATGCAAGCTGCTACTGAGCCAGGCTGCCTGGCCACCTCATTCCTAATATACTTTAAATACAGAGCTGCAGTAGGGATGGGTCCCAAACCCATCACAAGTCAGGACTGAGCTGGGCTGCTGGCCAGCCTGCTAAAATGTACTGGTGGGGTGGGGGGGGCGGAAATGCATGTAGTATATAGCATTAACCTGTAAGGTTTCCACTTATCAGTTAATCGACTATACTATTACATCTTTAATTTCTATTACACATCTTGTATTGTGTATCTATCAAAGAAGCAGGAACAGTTTACTTACGGCATAGCTCTGTAAGCTGTGTCTGTACATACTCGATTTTCATTAACGTTCTCCCAAACAGAGTAAGCCATGGAACTAGCAACTCCATCTGGGTAGTCCACTACTGGTACTTCTGCTGGTTCAGCATTAACATTTTTTACCTAGTTAAATAATCCCCCCACAAAAAAAAATACATTAAGATACACAACATTTCAGTTTTGTGGCTGAAAGCAATTTTTTTAAACACACATCTCCAGTAGTTCACATTCAGTTTCTATTGGTTTTTTCATTTAAGTATTTTCAGAACTAAAATTATACAAATTACTCAAAAATATTTTTATATTTACAGGAGAAGACTGAGACACTCATACCACCACAATGAAATAATGAGCACTATTTTAATACGGGCACAGCATTGACTAAAAAGAAGTTTCTGAGATTTAAATGAAGTGACTGAATGCTTCTGAGTACTGAGCTCATGTTCACATGGGGAATGGTAATCAAAGACCGCTCACATCCTAAACATCACTGAGGACCATAGAGGACTTCCCCGTCCCTCCCCACAAAAAATATTTAAGGTGGAACTGCTCTGGCACTATTGGGCACAGGAGGCTCTAGGCCCAAAGCATGAGTCCTGTGTTTATTATTTTTCAAGAAATAGGATTCTGCTGCCCAAAATTACATGAGATATTTGTGACCTGGGTATAGCTATAAGACAGCTTACAAATACATGAAAAATATCTAACACTTCCAGTGTTTTCTGGCATTCTGGTTAGCCTGAGAGGCTGCTTCATATCAGTGTCTGACTGATAGATGGAGAGTTGGCTACATTCATATTGCCCATGCTACCCATTACTACTTTCATTTAGAGGTCAATTTAAAGATGATGTAGCAGTTTTGGAATTTGAAGTTGAAGCAGTATAGAAAGGGGATGGAAAGAGGCAAAAGGAGAAGATTGTTTTATTTGAAGTTTAACATTTCTTTACATTTCTTAAAAAGATGCCAGTAAAAGTGACCTGAGAATTGAACGGGGTAGGCTTTCGAAGAGCAACGACTAGAGTAGAAGAAGATTAATGTAGTTGGCCGAGAAGCAATATGACTTCTAGACAACTGGGGGTCGGGGAAAGTAGACCAACTTTATTTGTAGCCCCAATTCAGAAAAGTTATTAAAAAATGAGTAGATCCAACAAACTCAAGGGAATAGTTTACATGCTTGAAGTTAGACATATCCTTCAAGGAAACTTTCCAAACTGGGCCCCTAATGAACTAGATTGCACTCAATGGATTTGAATAGGACAGGTATGTTAATAATGTACCTCTCTGTAGCATTTTCCAGCATTAACCAGTATAGAGTCTTTAATGTATATTTGGGTATTGTGCACACAACACTGTTGATGATTTCCAAAATGCCCTACCGTATATAATTCAGACAGAAGAGGGCTTTATTCTCAAACTATACCTAATATCTAGATATATAGATGTTAATGTTGAACATCATGCTTGAATATTTTCACCCTTGGGGTTTCTTTAAACAAAGGAGTGGCTCAACTAGTTTTTCCAGTTCTACAGGTGTTTTACAACCACATATGTTTTTCAAGGAAGTATCTCCAAACCTCTCAATATAATCTGTACTTAAAAAAAAAAAAAAAAAAAAAAAGAAAGACTTCTTATGCCACATGGAATAAAGACCAAAATAGCACTTATTTGATTTTCCCTTCTTTTTCAATAACTAGTGGTCTCCATGAATAGAGAAGGATTTACGCTTAGTGTAAGATGCCAATATCCTCCATCTCCCCTTCCACACCAATTTTTGCAAGTTCAACCATGTAACTATTATGTCAATTTTCTTATTCCCACTTGTCACAGTAGAGATAGCCACCCTATGAGCAGAAGTGATGGTCTAATCAGGGCCATTCTGTAACTGCTATGCCCTTAGAAAAATGCTTATCATACCAGAAGAGGTTCAGCCTAATTGTGCTTCTCCAGCTGGTGATGCAGAGGCAGCACCAGCACTACCAGGGGTAGGAAGACATATTACACCAACACTCAATAGTAAAGGTGTGGGAGGTTAGAGGGAGAGAACACAATAAAGAACAAAGAAGAGACCTAAGTGCATCTACACTAATAAAATGTATGGCTATGTCTACACTGGCATGATCTTGCGCAAGAACTCTTGTGCAAAAACTCTTCCAGAAGAGAGCATCTACACTAGCATGTGCCTTTGCGCAAGAGCATCCATGCCAACGTAGACGCTCTCTTGCGCAAGAAAGCTCTGATGGCCATTTTAACCATAGGGCTTTCTTGCGCAAGAAATTCATGTTGCCTGTCTACAATGGCCTCTTGCACAAGAACAGTTGTGCAAGAGGGCTTATTCCTGAGCAGGAGCATCAGAGTTCTTGCACAAGAAGTATTGATTTTATACATTAGAACGTCCGTTTACTTGCACAAGAGCTCGCAGCCAGTGTAGACAGGCAGCAAGTTTTGCGCAAGATCGCACCAATGTAGATACAGCCATATATGTATAATTCACCATCACTGATGGAAGTTGTAGCATAGCTTGATGAAACTACCAAATCATCTGTTATGATATAATGGCAAAGATGCCGAAGCCCTGATTTCATCAAAGCTTTTACCCTTATTCTCATCAGTAGTCAACGGTTGCTACAAAGTTTGCTAGCCATGTGAAAGAAGCTACTTAATTTAGGATGGCAGTAGAGAGACAAACAAAGCCTTTCAGACAACTGTGCTGGTAAGATCTCAATCCTCTTATACTATCCCACATACACTACAGACAAGGAGAAAAAGCAGCATCAACTACTAAAATATAGGATTTTTTTTTTTTAGAAAAGAATGAGTATTACTTATAAACCACATACAAAGTTTATGCATTGGCTCAATGTAAGAAGCTTGAAAAAAATATTCTTATCTCCCTCTTCCTTCCTAGCTGTGGAGTCTGCTCTGTTAGCTAACAGAAGCTCAAGTGCACACAAACCCTGCACTTTTTGCCTTAGAAAAAGATACCTGTAGATTACACTACACTGCTTACAGAAAAGGAGGAAAACAAAACCTCGCCAGAGCAAGAAAAGTAACACAACAACAAAACAAAACTCCAAGTTAGTAAATATATATTGCCTCAAATAAAAGCCCTCAATTCTTTTGCAACAAAAACACTTAAGAATAAAGGTATGGCTTCACAACCTTTTTCCAACTTAATGACATTTTAGTTTAACTAGTGAAAACCTACATAGACACATTTGAATGGTAATTTAAATTTACAGAGGCAAACCAACATAAGCCAGATTTAAATCAATGTGAGAGCATCCAAATGAAATCAGATCAACTAAATTGGTTTAAAAGTCATACCCCTTGCATTATGCCAGAGCGTCTCTGTAATTAGAGCAGACTTTAGAACAGAAGGGAAAAACATAAGGAAACTAACATTTGGATATACACTCTTCAGCAACTGATCTTCAGTCTAAGTCTATATCTACTCTAGCACTTTTGCCAGTAAAACTAAAGTGAGAAAAAGAAAAGCCATCACATCTCTGATTGAGGCAAGCTTCACTGACAGAAGCACCAACGTCAACAGCATTATATCACAGGAGACCTTACGAACAAAGGGTATGTCTATACTACCGACTTATGTCAATGCCCAAAAGTTGACAAAATAAATCACCAGAGTGTGTTCGCACTTGCTCCCTCTGTGGGATAATCATATCCACTGTGTTGGCACTTGCTCCCTCTGTGGGATAATCATATCCACACTGGGGGCACCATCATCAACTATGAGCAATGCACTGTGCCATGTTGTGGAAAGACAGAGCTGATCCTTGTGCATCTTGGGGTTTCCCCTCAGTTGTCTCTCAGCCTCTTCAGTTGCCAAGAGCAGCATTATGAGTAGCTCTGTGAGCTCTCCATTTCAAGGAACCTCAAAGCAGCACAGCAACCTGTCCCCCGCTCTCTGTAGCAGCAGTCTGCCTATCACTGTGTTCATAGTGCAGGACAGCACTCCAATGATTTGCTCTTTGTCCTCCAAGAAGAGCAACTCACTTAGCTACTTAACTGTCAGCATAAGTTTCCTCTGAATATTGTGGCAACATACCGTGGCAACATACCGTCCCGCAGCAGAACCACCAGCTTACTTAATCAGCCCCACCCAGGAGCTCAGGCCTGTTGCAGGCTGTCAGATAGTCCTGGAACTTTGAAAGGGAGGGGCGCATGCCTGCAGGGCAGCAGAAATCAAAGCTGAACAGAGTTATTAGAGCAGGTATTGTGGGATACTGGCAAAAGCCAGTTCTATCGACAAAACCACCAGCAGAGTCCACACTGGCTCTTTGTACACAACAAAGGAACCGGAAAAGAAAAAAGTTTCTTGTTGGCATGGAAGTTTTTTGTGGCCAAAACTGAGTGTTTTTCCAGACAAAAATGCCATTACAATACATATGCTCTTACTGTTTTGTCACCAAAAGGCAGGTTTTGATGTCAAAACTTTGTAGTGTAGACAATGTAACTTATTCCTGGACAACAAACTTTATAGGATAGGACACAAACACTGATGATTTATTTACAGGCAGTCCCCGAATTACGCAGATCCGACTTATGTCGGATCCGCAGTTACGAACGGGGTTTGCTGCCCATCTCCCTGGTCTGCTGGAGACCAGCAGACCAGGGAGACGGGAAGCAAAGCCTCTGAGGACACCGGCAGCGGGACAGCCGCGGCGCGTCTGGGCTGTCCGCTGCCCGCGTGCGC